TATTTCTGGACCAATTCATCACAAAATTTGAATCTGAGACGTAGAATTTCTTCACCACATTGAGATCTGTCGATTATACGTCTCAATTTGCTGCAATTTTGAGTAATGAATATGAAATAGAAGTCAGAAAATTTTGTGAAAAGTTGGTAGTTTATAGATGACGTGCACCATATACGCATCGTAGTGTACAATATACTCACAGTCAGAGTACTAACGTTAAGGTTAAGCTTAGTATAGTAACGTTAACTACACCTTTTTGCAGTTATTTTGGAACGAATGCCCGATATATTTGGCCGTGCGCCAATCGTTATATTTGGCAGTGTGTCCGATATAATTGGCCTTGTGCCCGTTTAATTTCGCACACAGATGTCGTGTCCCCGATATATTTGGTCGTGTGCCCGATATAATTGGCTGTGTGCCCAAGCAATTGCCCGTCTGCCCGAAGAATTGTGTCGTATGCCCGATGAAAATGTAAATCACGCAATAAATTAAAAGTCAATTCAATACAGAAATGGTCATAAAACGACACATGTAGCATCGTTGCTGTGACGTGACACCCCAACACCCATGTTGCCCATGGCCCCCGCGCGTCCTTCGAGGGTGCGTGCCTTGAGGAAAATTGAAAAATGAGCTCTGCACGCGACAGATTCAAGTTTTGGACGGAGTTGAAGTACAATATATAGGGGCAATACTTCAATTGACATCATTACCTACACTGTATTAGAGTTCGTGGGGGTGCAGCGACGTTCATGCTGTGCGTTCCTTGGCGATTTGAATAATGAGCATTCAATATGTAGGAGGAAATTAAGCGCACGCATGAGGAACTTCAACTATACTTTATTCAAGTATAAATTTCGAAATGTTGCCTTCGCGCATTTTCCTCCCAACTTCAACCACATGATATTTCCACCAAAACTGATATGCACTCCTTGGAATATAATTCTTTGAGTTATTCTATTTTCATCAGGCACTCGACACAATTCATCGGGCAGATGGCCAATTGCTTGGGCACACGGCCAATTATATCGGGCATTCGTCCAACTTACATTTACTGCAAAATGGTGCAGTATCCTCTACCACCAATTAGTAATTGTAGTAATACCGTAATCTACTACGTAGTATACTATAAAAATGAATATATCAGTCATATAAATATTAATAGTATTGTCGTGTTTACTACGACGTAATACTGTAAAGTAACACTAACGTTATTTCCAGTAAGTGTGAACTTTGCCAATGATCTAAGGAAGCGGACCAATCAGAGGTGCGTATACAACAAGCAGCATCTAAAAAACGGTCGCAGAGAACTCCATGGGCAACAAGGCATCGGCCCCGCAGGCGCAATGTGTGGACCTGCGCGAAGCGAAACCCACGACCTCCATCACTCATGACACACAGCCATCTACCTCTCCATCCTCCTGCGACAGCAGCAGCAGGCAGAAGACGCCGACAAGTCTCCCGGATCTTCTATCCGACGACTCGTTCGACGTGGAATTCACACAAGCAGCCAACGCCGCTTTATTTGCAGACGACAAAGAACCCCCCGCAGCACAACCTTCTCTTATGATCAATGACAACTACACGAACGGTATGCTTCCGCATGTATACATGCTCATTGAACCTGCGCGTAAATAGACGTTTCTGGGCGACGACGACGAATCGACGAGACGTACGAGTTGGAGCCAACACCGTTAGGAAGGCACGCAAGACCACTCCGCTCAACTCTTCTTTCACTGACTTGCGACACCGTAGAGGCCATTACGCGACCGTGTGGCGAGGCCGATGCCGCGCCACCGACATGGCCGTCGCGGTAAAGAAGATCAAACGGGTGCTCACCGACGATTCCCGACTCAAGGCATGTGTCCATCTCTCATCATTCTCACAATATGCTAAACATCATCTGTCCATTTACTAGTCGGAAGTCGCGGCACTGCGGCGCATCCGTACCCATCCCAACATTGTGACACTATTGGACGTATATGAAACCCCCAGCGAAGTGCTGTTGGTCATGGAGCTATGCACAGGGTACGAATATGGACCTAAAAAATGAGCCAATCCGATTGCATCTCGGAAACACATTTCAGCCAATCATCATTCAGCATCCATGGTTGAACCTTCGAAACCTGGATTTTCATGATGTCGCCGATACATTTTGCAAGGGACATATATATAATATATATATTTGATATATATACTTTAAATTACGTAGAGGCGAACTGTTTGAACGGCTGGCGGCGAGAGGCCCGTACTCCGAGATGGACTGCGTGCGCCATGTCAAGAGTTTAGCAGAAGCCGTCGCGTATTTGCATGCAAATGGCATCGTACACCGAGATCTCAAGCCTGAAAACATCCTCCTGAGCACTCCGCATGATGCCGATGCTGTGGTTAAGATTGCCGATTTTGGGCTCGCCAAGCTCAATACCACGACCATGAAGACCAAGTGTGGCACGTGGGGCTATTCAGGTAACGCATAAAGTATGCGTTGATATATATATAGTATCGACGTATATATATGTGTATTTTCAAAATGACAATCGATTACATCAATCTAGAATATATATATATGTACTAAAACAAGATGGTATGTATAGCCCCGGAAATGATTTCCGGGTCAGGTGTGTCGTTTGGATACGATGCCAAGGTTGATTCGTGGAGCATTGGCACCATCTTGTACATCTTGTACGTATATATATATATATATCATTCTTTTTTCAAAACTCAAAAGTGATGGAATATATACATATGAGGACGCTATGATACTGTAGACTCTGTGGATTTCACCCGTTTGACCCGCTGGGCAATCGATCCGACAACGACATGATTGCGCACATTAAAACCAGTACCTTTGACTTTGACGATCCGGTATACAAATACACTGTATATGACGTGGCATTCCCCCAACCAAGAGAATCTCGTACTGCTTTTTGTAGGCGTGGGTGGGGTTGTCTGCCAAGGCGAAAGACCTGATTCGGCACTTGCTCGTGCTGGACCCTGCCGCGAGGTATTCCATGGCAGACCTATTGGCCCATCCTTGGATCACGGTACGTTTAACAGGCCTGGAAAGATATATATATATATATATATATATATAGGCAAAACTGAGAAATTGGGTATTTATTGCAGGGCCGCGAGGGTGTGGATATCCCCGTGCAGCCGTTGTCGCCCACAATTCACACCGACCTGGCGCGGTTCCAACAGCAGTCCAAGCATCGGGTAACAATAGATGGACTCATTCTGTAATGTATTGTACTATGTTTTTATCATTTGTCAATCAAAATACCGATTTTATATATATATATATATGTCCTCATCGATACTATACTCTAGATGCTATCCTACGAAGAAGACTAGCTAGAATATAATATATCCGCCCACGGTGCCCACCAAGCTAAGGATATGAATGACAAGCCGGCTCTTTCGAGTTGTTGTTTGTGCTTTTGAACGTTATATTACGTAAATAAAGGGTCGAAAGAATCATTTTAAGTGTAAAATATAATATACTTCAAAGTACTAGAATAATACACTGGTATTGTGGATTCGGTACAGATTTCCAGACCCCATCAAATCGAATAATCTCGCCGCCGAATCGAATGTCGAATCGACGCTATTGGCTAATCCAATATTGAGTGGATTTGATTGGCTCTTACAGAAAGGACAAGTATATATTCAACCAATCAGAACTCCAGCGTGATTTAATATTGATAATCGCGCGAATTTAGAAATTTGGACGTATATAGCGAATATTCACAATCGTATACGCTTCAATATGGGGCCGTTGAGTATTGCAATGTTAAGTCGACGCCCGGGCGTGGGGGGTGCTAGCAGTGGCGTTGTTTTTTCGGATGGTGGTGGCAACATTGGACACCATTTTCAGTTTGGCCACGGTCGCTACATTGAAATGATCCAGAGGGGAATAAAGAAATATATAATATATATATATATATATATATATATATCAACGACAATAACAACATACCAGCATAAGCGGTTTGCATTTGGTCCAAGTCGTCCTTGGCTTCAATTTGAGTCGCTAGGAATGCTTTGCGGCTTTCTTGGAGCTTGGCGCATTTCTTTGCAAGCAACCTGGTGTATATGATTAAGACTTTTTGTGAGATTCGAAAAAAATATATATATATATTCCAGTCCCCGTTGTACCAGCTTTCAACACCAGACGTCCTTTAGAACGATTGTTTTTACCTGTTGCTAAATATTTGGGTATCCAAGTCCGACTTGGCTTCTGCGAGCGATAGCTTTTCATGCGCCTACATATCATTTATGAATACATTTTCATAATAACCAATCGTTTTTCGATACGTACCAGTCTTTTTTCGTATAATTCAATATCTTTGTGAACTTGGGTCGTATCGTGGTAGAGATCAATGTCCAATTCCAACGACGCCGACGGGTTTGATTGGTTCTTGGACGACCATCCAAAGGGTAAGTTTAACCTCGTCATGCCCTACGCAGTAGAATGTACAATAATACTATATTTCACCCACCACCAAGAACCACTCTTGAGAGGTCAGAATAGGGAAATATATATATATAAAAATAGATGGCTTGATAACTTACCCGCCGCAACAACTTGGACGACGACGGAGTCGTGGTGATTATTGACGATACAATGTCTTGTGGGGAGCCCAATTGTTGGACTTGTGCGATTTGATGCTCCAATGCATATTGGTCGGCTACCGTCTCATCTCGATCTTTCAAACGTTGGAGGAGATGTCGCTCACATTGCGCTAGTTCCACTGCAGACAGCACAACAGCCGCGTTAATACCAAAGTGAGGCAGTTATTTCCTTCGCATTATTGCATATTGTAGTGTTTATATTCTAAACTGGAGAAGTGACATGGAGAAGAATGAATCGACGTAACCAAGAATCGGCAGAAGTAGCATTGGGAGCCAATCAGGTTGCAGGAAACCAATATCAACAACATCTAATTAGTGTGTAACTCCAATTAGTGTGATACCAATCACCAAACCGGACACGTTTTTACGTGCAAAAATCAAGTACAAAAAATATTTGGCGATTCACAGCCCAAAAGGCCAAATTTGGGGTCAAATTACATGCAGTCGTCCCCCCGCACCCATAATCTCTCTCGCCAACAAGACTAACAATATTCACACGAGAGTGCAGAGTGGACCATCGCTTGCTTTCCATTGAATATTCACCATACAAAAATAACAAGATGCACCCTCCATATGAAGAATTCGTACGTTCGTCGGTGGTCTTGTCGTGCTCGAGCGATACCAACGCCTCATCCAATGCGTCGATTTCACGCTCGATGGCAAACAGAGTATCGGCTAGGTCTTCGTGGTCAGCTTCGACGGACGCTTGCGCCAGCTTGGCGTCGGTAGTAGTGGCAAATTCCGCCCCATCCGTAGCTTCACGAGAAGTAACCTCGTCGTCATCCAACGCGTCTAGATCTGCGGGCCACATGGAAGCGCAGTGGGCGTCCACGGTGGATGTAGGCGAGAGAAGCACCCACTGGACGAACAAGTCGAACGAGGCCAGTCCGTCCGACGGCGGGGCAGAAGAAGAGGAAGGAGGAGATGGTTCGATGGCGTCATCACTAGTTGCTTTGGATGTCCACCGCGTCATCGTGTTGTCGTGGGGGTCGGCGTTACCTGTCGGCATGATCGATCAAGCAGTTAATTGCAGTTACAAAATCGTTTCAACCCTCAAAGGGGGGGGGTAGAAAGGCAGCACGATGGTGGAGGGGGTGCGAGGGGCTTTAGGGTATGGAGGGGGGCCGCAGGAGACTGCGTGGAGAGTCAAGTGCGGAAGCTGTTTCTTCAAACTCAAGCAGCGTACGATTCGGAGTGGCACACGTCGTTCGTACCCCACAAAGTCCACTTAAATCCGATTCAACAACCAAACAATGTACGGCCCCATACTACGGGTCAAGGCACGCCATCAACTGCGTTGCTGCTGCAAGAGCAACAGGTACCATACCATACCTACAACATGAGCATCCCATTTGACGTCGATGAAGCGGAAAGTTTAACCATCCCATCTTCGTCACACACACACTGGGCATGCCAGAAGCATGCTTGTTTGGCACACCAATGATATCTCTTGTACGTGGGCAGCAATGACGGCATCTCTTCTGCATCAAATCCAAGTGTCTTTAGGATGATCGTCGCCAATTCGTGACCTACGTAACGCTCAGTTCAACATGCGCTTCTTCGTACGGATAACGAGAGTTTGGTTATCCGGGAATACGCGTTTCGTCACATTGCAACTCACGTGAAACTTGCTGATTGCGACGCGATGCCGACTTGTTCGCGGTGCGACGGCAACATTGGCATCTTTTCCAAGCGGCGAAAATGTCCCCAGTGCATGCGCCGGGTCTGCAAGGAATGTGTGGGCACAAAGGATGACAAGGTGGTGGCTTCATTGAACCACCATCCTGGACAATACATTGCAAAGAACAACCCCCTCATGCCGATTCCGTCATCGTCATTCTCGTCGTCGTCGTCCTCCCATGTACTGCTTAGTCGTCCATCCTCGATGCCACACCTTTGTCCGTACGGTTGCCGCGACATTAAAGGTGGAGCGAGCGACGACGGGCAACGCTTCTCCAATGCAAGCGATCTCGCAGACTTTCCACCACGAAGCCCTGCAGACAAGTCACCGGAGGCGTCTTTCTGCGGCGACGTTGGCGACCTTCAGGGGGACACGGATCCAACTCCACCGTCGGTTAAGGCAGAGGTTTTCCCTGTCACCAGTACTGTCGAAGATCGGACCGTGCGCTTCGAGCAACGGGAGGTGCAAACGCATCGCATGGTGGACGCGGCGAATGGTTTCCTCGTGTCGTTCTGGCTGTGCGTGTTGTGGTCCATCGTGACGTCGGCATTAACGAATCGGACGTTGCTCACGTCACCGACAGGGCTTGGTGCCGGGGCATTGCTCGTCGGCACGTTGCTCTCGGCGCGGTATCCTCGATCTACGTCATCTCATGCCGAAGTGCCAGAATGATCCTGCCGCCACCGCCCTTTCTTTGTCAGTGGTTTCGAATCTTCGCGCGCAAATTTGAAAATGAAACAAAAAAATTGTTCTCTTTTTTTTTCATCGTGATTTTTTTCGCGCGCTGCTGCTGCTACTACTCCGGTTGTCGTGGGACCGGCTTCTTTTTTTGTGTTTCTTTTTTTCTTTTTTCTTGTGCTCTTTTTTGTCTTTCTTTTTTTCCTTGGCGTGGGACTGGATATCCATTTCCAAAAGCGCGCGCAATCGATCCGGGTGTTTGGACGACGCGACGCCGCCGCTTCCTCCTTCATCGCCCTTCATCCTCGCCAACATCGCATCCTCCATCGACGATGACGACGATGCATGATGGAGCAACTTGTGCTGCAACTCGACGGCCGCTTCATGCAACGGGTGCAACTTCAACGCCGCCTCCACGTCCTGCCGCGCTTCGTCCATGCGCTGCATCTCGACGAAGAGCCTCCCACGCCCCACGTAAGCCTCGACGTCGTCCTTGTCCATGTCGATTGCGGTCGTATAAGCCGCGACGGCGTCACTTTGTTTACCTTGGCGATGCAAGGCCGCCGCTTGGGTTCGCTTGTCGGCGGCCCACTGCTGCATCTACGCTCAAGGATAATGTCGAGAGAGAGAGTAGTTGTTGTTGTTGACGACATGATATGCATTAAGGAGGAGACAACGTGGAGTATTGGTGGACCTGCTGCTTGCTCAATGCACGGTACGACAGCGACTCGTCTTGGTGCAATTTCGGCCGCACGATGTATGACGTCACGGATGGCGCGCTGTACGTGAAGAGCATGCCGTCCACAGCGTATATGTTGGTGGCGGACCGATCTTGCTTTAAGAGGTGGTTGATGGACGGAGATGGGGCGGGGGAGAATCGCGACGGCGGAGTCGGTGAGAACGTGAACCCTCCGAACGCGCACCCCGGCGTCCAAGGCTGTGTGTGGAAAGGGAAGATGAAAGGATAGCCCATGAGGAGGATATAAGGGGCTTTGATACCTGTAATGAATCCCAAAATGTGAAAGGAAGCAGCATGTCCGTCGGTACAAGCTCAACGTCCTAAGCCATCGAGCATGAATATGATCAGCATGTACATATATATACCTGTGTGGGTGTGTCGATTTGAACCGTCAAGTTCAAAACTGAATGCGGGGAAACGTTCTCGAGACTACGGCATGTATATGTAGGCATCAATCATCCATGATGCATGATGCCCGAAATGCTCGTACGATGCGATGGGGAGGGGGTAGAACGGAACCGCGGCGACATTCAGCGTCGAGCCGTGGTACTTTCCTCGGTGGAAGCCAATGCTACGGATCTGGACCTGACGACTAGATGCAAGAACACAGCCACGGACGACAACGTCATCTGCATGGCGTCGGAGGATTGCGCGGAGTGTCGTTGCGCAAGAGTCTTCAAGCGGTGGACGTCTCTGTTCCAAGGCGACGGTGGCGAATGATGCGAGATATGGTTGTGGCATCGATGCAGGTGGAGGAGGCTGCGCTGCCTTCACAAGGGTGTCCACATATTGCCGCAGGAGGTGCCGCAAGTCGGCGCCATCAGTGATGCCGTCGTCCATCATGAGTTATGGTTGGCTGATTTACGGATAATAACCGGATACTACGTAGTACGGAGTAAACGTTACCACTGTCCTGCAGCTAGCTATTCACAGTCAGCTACTATTAATATTAATAGTATTACTCTATACTATTAATAGTAGTACAGTAGTAGTACTAACAGTAAGTTACCGGTAACGTTAGTACTACTTTGAAGGAGTATGTAGAGCAACTAAATGACGTGGCACGTTGCACGGCTTACAACCAGATCCGTTGAACATACCGATAGTTTGTACCGAGTAGTCGCCACGTCAATGTGTGGATAGCAGCAATGCAACGATCGCATCACAATGCTCTCCCTTCGACGACGAAAATATAACAGGTACTAGGACCTATTTAATTAAGCACGATGATTGTAACAAGGCATATTGTACGGCACTTGAGCACTCATTTCATATGAACCATTGCGACACAAGCTCCTTCCTTCAGTTGAGACACAGTGCGACCTAGCTTATGTACAGTACCACAACAAAAGGGGATTCAAATGTATTGAATACCGCCAATCTTATGAACCGTGAAACTACTACCGTTTACTAGTATTGTCGATTTGATACAAATTTGGGGAGGTTGCAATCGAATTGCGCAGACCAAACCGATCCAGAATCGATCTGATTGGTTGAATTTCATAGAGAGGGTTTTGATTGGCTAATAATTTTGAGCTCATCTGAAGTAGCCAATCAAATCGATTTAACGAGAAACCACGCCACAACACGAAATTTCACTCGAAAGTACAATACTTCGTATAATACTTCTACTATGTAGTGCTACGTAAAATAACGTTGATTCACAGTTACAATAGTAAAACGTCGTGCAAGTGTAACTGCTCTACGGCCCAATGAAATGGTCCGTTACATTTGGCACTTGGACACTGGTATCCGGAATTATCCGAAAGAGATTATCCGGATACTTATTCTCGCCAGCCAACAGCAGAAAGTTTTTGTGGAAGTGCACCAACAACAACCGTCATCATGGGTGGACCGACAAGTACGACTGCTGCTGCTGCACCGGAAGGAACGACTACTACGCTCCAGGCGCGCGTGCTGGATGTGATGAAGAACTCGGCAGCATGGGAGGCCAAGCACAAGGAAGTGAACGAGGGGTTCGTCGTGACGCGCTTCCCGCCCGAGCCCAACGGGTACTTGCACGTGGGGCATGCCAAGTCGATGTCGATGAACTTCAGCCAAGCGTTCGACAAGTTGGGCGTTGCTGAGGACAAGCGCCGCACGATCTTCCGGTATGACGACACGAACCCGGAAGCGGAGAGCCAAGAGTACATCGAGGCGATCCGTGCGAACGTGGACTGGTTGGGGTGGAAGCCTTGGAAGACCACGTACAGTTCCGAGTATTTCGATCAGTTGTACGCGTTTGCGTTGGAGTTGATCCACAAGGGTCGGGCGTACGTGTGTCATCAGTCCAAGGCCGAGATCGAGGCGAGTCGGTCCATCCTCCGCGACCTGCACGGCCGCGCGTCCGCGGAAGGGCTGGTCTTGACCGAGTCCGTATTGGCGGCGGCAGCGTCTCCATTCCGCAACCGATCTGTCGCGGACAACCTGCGGCACTTTGAGCGCATGCGGCGCGGCGAGTACGCGGAAGGCGCAGCGTCGCTTCGCTTGAAGATGCAGCTCGACTCGCCCAACCCCAACATGTGGGACTTTGTCGCATATCGCATCAAGTTTGTGCCCCATCCACACATTGGCTCGAAATGGTGCATCTACCCCACGTACGACTACACGCACTGCATCGTGGACGCGCTCGAGCACATCGACTACTCGATCTGTACACTCGAATTCGAGACTCGCCGCGAGTCGTACTACTGGCTTCTGGACGTACTGGACCTGTACAAGCCCACCGTGTACGAGTTTGCGCGCCTGAACATCACGTTCACGGTACTATCCAAGCGAAAGCTGCTCAAGTTGGTCACCCATGGCCTCGTCCGCGGCTGGGATGACCCGCGCCTCGCGACACTCAACGGCCTTCGCCGCCGCGGCTTTTCCGCGCCCATTCTGAACGCATTTTGCAAAGACATTGGCGTCACCCGTGTCCAATCTACGATTCAGATCCAACGACTGTATGCCGTCGCCCGCGCGCACTTGGGCGATGCATCCAAGCGGGCCATGGCCGTACTCGACCCCGTGCCCGTACGTTTACAAGAGATATGGGGGATGGAGATTATTGGAGTATATTGTGTGTTGCCTATATACTATTGTGCTTTCAGTCAAATGTGCCTATTATTTGGGGGATTGAGGAAATCGCCAACAAACGAGTATGATTGGCTAGAAAGAATCAAGGTTGCATATGATTGGCTAAAAAGATTGATTGTTGAAGTATTGCAGATACCTCTTCCACTTTGTTTTGTATGAAATTTCAAAGGTCCGGCGAAATTTTGAGTAGAACACTCAATACATTGATTGGGGAATTTGCCATTATATTGTGTATGAGAATACTCTTGGACAATATGTATTGCAGGCGGGGTTGCCCATATCTATATATAATGTGGGGGGGTGTTTGTTGTGTATATATATATGGATTGTTTGTGGGAATATGTTGTGTGGGGATGGTTGCCTATATACATTGTGTATGGGAATTCTCTTGGACGATGTATTACAGGGGGAGGGGTTGTCCATATATTGTGGGGATGTTTGTTGCCTATGTGGGGAATTGCCAATATATTGTGTGTGGCTATATATATAGGGTGTTGACTATATAGCGAATTGAGAATTCATTGTATATGGAGAAATTGCCTAATATAGTGTGAATGCGGGATTGAGTTTTGTGGGAGGGGGGGTGGTTAATCTTGTGTTTTGGGTGGGGGGGGGTAGGTGGTGGTGGACAACTACGAGCCGTACACGTGCGAAGTGCTAGACTACCCCCAAGACAAGGATGTGGAGCATGGACGCCATAGCAGCCATCCCGTGGAGCTCACGCGCACGTTCTATTTGGATCGGTACGACAGGGTTTCATATCTCAATCACATGCTTGGTTTCGTGATATGAAGGCTATCAGACGAGACAGAGTTTTGATTGGCCACTTGATTCGTGTTGTGGGTTTTGATTGGCCAATACTGATGTGGATGGCCAAATGTATGCAAGCCGGTGTTAATCCATGTTTTTGTCGTAGATCGGACGTGCGGTCGGTCGACAGCGCCGGCTTCTTCGGCGTCGCGCCGTCTAAAATTGTGCGGCTCAAGTATGGCCCCGTGTTTACGTGTACCCGCGTGGATGTGGATGCTTCGGTATGTCGTTAATTAGTGTGTGCTTGGCGACGTGTGATTAGTCTTGCATTTTGTATACATTTCACACTACTTGGTGTGTCGCCCCCGACGTTTGTTTAGTCTTGCGTTTTGTATGCCTCTCACACTAATGTCGCCCCCCTCTTGCACGTTGATTGGTGGATACGACCATCTGCGGCAACGTTTGATTGGCTACAGACATGAGATGGTTCTATTTTTCAACATACACTCACTGGTTCAACATACATTATTTATTATCCTTTGCCCCAAAATTTCGACTTTTGTGCTGAATCGCTGAATAATATCGCGAAATCTGTCGATCGATTCATTGTACTGAGTTTTGTATGCGTGGTATCACACTAATTGAATTCACACACGAATTTCACTTTCATGTTGGTTATCTGCAATCTGATTGGCTCAATTCTTCTGCCGATGATTCTTCTGTACAGTATATTTGGTTGAAGTACATGCCATTCCAGTTTAGAATAAACACAATATATAGTATATGGAGGATATATGATGATGTTGCATATTAGGGCAACGTGACGCAAGTGGCGGGTACATGCAGCTACGTGGAGGACGAGTCTGTGAAACCCAAGGGCGTGCTGACGTGGGTATCGGCGGCGGCGGCGCCAGTCGAAGTCCGCGTGTACTCGCACCTGTTTACGGTACCGGAGCTCGGTGCCGTCGACGACTGGGAGGCGCTGGTGGACTCGTCGGGCAGCGAGAAAGTGTACGGTAAAGCGTTGGTGGACGGTGCAGCTATTGGTGGCAGTGACGTGCTGACGTCGTTTCAGTTTGAGCGGCTGGGGTACTTTGTGGTAGACCAGGACTCGACGGCGGAGCGGGTCGTGTTCAACCAGATTGTGGCGCTGCGGGACAACGACAAGGCGGACGACGCGCGCAAGGAGGAGCAGCTGCGTCAGCTGGCGGACAAGAAGGCCAAGATGCACATCGACCCCCTCGATATGTTTAAAGCAGACGCAGCGTACTCGCAATGGGATGACATGGGCATGCCCACGCACGACGCGGAAGGTCGTCCGCTGAGCAAAAGCCTCTTGAAGAAGCTCCTGAAGGACCGTCTCAAGCAAAAGAAGCTGTTTGACGCCAACAAGTAGTAGGTGAAGGTGGGAACAAACCACACGATCACACACGGCTAAGATATGCAAAAATGCCAGTCTACTAGTTCTACTACTACTGGATTCATAGTAGTACTATTAATAGTACCTTGGACCCACAGTGGTGTTGGATACTAACTATTAATAGGGTAGTATACAACAAAAGTGATAACGTTACTATTAATAGTATACGCTTGGAATTCAAAGGGATAACGTTAACCGATCGAGTCTTTGTACATACTAATGATGTGTATAACGTTAAAAAACGTTGTTTAAGACCACACGATGTTGATGTGATGATGGTTTCCTGCAACCTGATTGGCTCACTGCTAATTGTGCCGATTCTCGTGTACATTTATTTTTGGTTGTTTTTTTTGCAATACAAAATGTAGTACCTAAAATAGTTTATACTACGTAGTATAGGTTTAATAATTAGATTTATGTTTGATGTTTTTATTGACATTTCTTCTTTTTTTGTTAAATAATTTTTTATATTTGTGCTGCGGTTCATTCTCCATGCCGCTCCAGTTTACAGTTAGAAGAAACACACAATACGACGACATACTTATTGTCCATTCGCTGAAATTTGGACTTGTCAAAGGCCTTAAATTCAACTCGGAAGTCCAAATACTGCTTTGACAATCCATATTTTGTACACGGCGAAGGGTTTGGCGAGTCGAATTCGATGGCGACACTCCGAGGTCGGCTGCTATTTCAGCTGAGCCATATTGTCCTTGCAGACAAAATTTGGTCGTTTATGCTGATTCGCCAAATCCATCGATCGATTTTTGAATTTAACATGTAAAAACGTTGTCCAGCGGTGATACCCATCACACAAATATCCGTTACATACTCCAGTACTAATTATTAATACTTCAAGTATTAATAATTCAAGTATTAATACTCCGGAGTAGTTTGTTTTCGTTGATCGGATGATTTCCTGCAATCTGATTGGCTAAATTCTTCTGCATACCTACCGAATTTACCGCACATCTGTAACCCCCAAAATGTTTCCGAAATAGTTACAACTCAATGGTAAAGCTGAAATATATACCACTATTGTTTCCGCGCATTGGAATAACTATGATTGGACAAAATGTTTCGCGCGGTTTCACCATTATTCAAAGTGCACGACATACACGTCACAGGCCAAATGACTGCAGAACCACCACGTAGCCGCTCCAAGACAGGGAAGCGCAAGGTCATATCCTTACGCTTCAAAGTCAAAGTCATTCAAGCTTACGAGGCTGCACTTGGGCCTGCCAAGACATTCTATGCAATAGGCAAGGCCTTCGGCGTGCAGACAGGCCAAGTGTCACGTTGGGTCAAAGACAATACCCTCATTGCCTCGCGGGCAACTGTGAACCCTTCGGCATGCACCGTAAACCCCGGTCGTGCGGTCACAAAACCCGACGTCGAGGCTGCAGTACTCGACTACTTCCAAACCCTTCAAGACGACGACATTGTGATCAGCACCTACATGCTGATCGTTTATGCATTGAGCATTGACCCGTCTTTCCATGGAGGCGAATCTGGGGCATTGACACGATGGGTGTACAATTTCATGCAACGGAACAATCTTGCCATTCGGCGGCCGACTCGTCAAGCACAAAATCGTTCCGGCCACCTCGTCGACATCATGCACGACTTCGCCGCTGCAACGGCAAAGTCGTGGCCCTGCGAGAGAGGTTTGAACCGTTTGGTACATTGGGGAATGTTACCAAACGGTTCTTTGTAAATATGGATGAAACCCCTGTGCCCTTTCAACCCGAAATCAAGACCACCATCGCCAAAAAGGGTGCCCGTACTGTGTCGGCGCGTAAGTGTACGTCCACAAACGCGCGTGTAACTGTTTGTCTTGCGATTGCGGCAGACGGTACGAAGTTGCCGCCTTTTGTTGTATTTAAAGGTGTCCCCGGGGCTCGCATTGAGTCGAGCTTGGATTGTGTTGTGCCAGAAGGTATGTTTGCAGCGTGCCAACACAAGGCCTGGATGGATGAAGCGCTT